TCCGTGGCTGTAAAGAGTCCCCGCAGCTTCTCGGCAAATGTGTCCGCCGTCTTAGCGCCTTCAGCCCCAGGGAACTCGAGGACTCGAGCTCCCGTCTGGGCGAGGCGCATTCTGACCCCCACCGTTCCAAAATCGTTGGCGAGGCTGTCCCGGGCCTTTTTGAAGACGGCCGCGTAGGACAGCCCGCCGTCCGCCGCCTCCGGGGACACGGTCACCACTACAGCCGCGGTTTTGGGCGGCTGCAGCTTCCGCAGCCTCTTTGTGGAGGCCGTTGCCACCGGTGGCGAAGGCTGGGCTTGGGCTGCTTTTTTGGCAGCCTTTTTGGCCCGCCTTCGGGACTTCTTGGAGCCCCTCGCCTCCTGCCAACCCTCGTTGGAGGGGGCAGGTGCGGAGGGGCCCGGCAGGGGTGTCGGAGTGGGGAGCGGAGGGAATGCCACTCCGCTCCTCGGCGCTGTTCTAGGCCCCGTCTTGGCCGGCGCCTGGGGATGCGCCCTGGCCGGCGCCTTAGCCGGTGCCTTGGCCGGCGCCTGGGCCGGTGCCTTGGCCCCCCTCCTCGGCTTTTGTGGAGCCGATGGAGTAGGGGCAGACGCCGCCGCCGCGTAAGAAACGCGGCCTCCCACAACGGGGAGCGCGGTCGGAGCGGCGGCCTTAGGCCGCTGTGCCGACGCGAGCGGGGGGCGCATAATCGGCGCAGGAGGCAATCTCGCCTCCAGGCCAGCCAGGCGTCCGTCCAGCATATTCCCAACTGCGATGAGGATTTCTCGCAGTTGGGAGTCAAATGCCCCTGAGTTGGTGGTAGGGGCAGGCTGGGACGCGGACGGGGCTTCCCGCTCGGGGAGGTTCGCCTGGAAGCGGGCGAACTGAGCGCTCAGCTCGTTCACCCGCTCCGTCAGCTTCTCGTTGGCCACCTGCAGGCGAGAGACGTCGCCCGCTAGGCCCTCCACGATCTCCGACAAAGCGGAGGAGGAGTCCTTAAGGGCCCTCACAAACGAGCCCTTAAGGTTCACGGATTTGGTGGCCACCTTGTTGATGACGGCCACCGCCGCTTTCGCCCTCTCCTGCACGGACACGGGAGCCTGGGGGGCATTTCCCCCCACCGGCTCCCGAACCTTGAGCAGGAGATCCGCGATCTCCTCCTCCGCTACGGCCTCGCCGTCCACCCGTACGTTCCTGTACGACTCCGCGTTGGAGAACGCGGAGCCTGACGGGATCGCGACCGAGGCCGGTTTGCGCGCCCTCCCTCGGCGGCTGCTTGCCACCTTTGGTGGCATCATTTCGCCGGACGTGTCGGTTTCCACGTCCCCTGAGCGTCCGCGTTTCCGGCTGTCGCTCCGCTCCGCTTCCATGGCCTCCGCGCCATCCGATGAAGCGGCGGATCCGGAACGCAGCCGATCCGATGCTCTTCGGCTCCCAGAGACCAGCGTCAGACTGACTTCTGGGAGCCCCATCGAGATAGGCGTCCTCGACGCCACCTCACCCTCAGTGGACGACCCATCCGCTCCACTGTTCTGTTTCTCCTTCCTTCCCTTCGTTTTTTTCGTTTCCGTTAGGCTTGCCTTCTGTTGTTGGTTATTTCCGATCGTTTTCTTTTGGTTTGAGTTTTGAATTTTATCCATTATAAATCCCACGAGTGGGGGAGAACTAAAGGTCCACCCGGGCAGAGATCCCCCATTACCCGGGCAAGCGTAAGTTTTTAACCCAACCGAGGGGTCCGCAGGTACCTCGGCTTGGAGTGCGCTCGCGACTGAACTTCCCATCAGCCATGCATCCCCTGGCCACGCACCAGAACACGGGATTCGGGGAATTTTTTAGAGAGGTTATCTTCCTCGCGGTCCGGGCGGTTAAGCCAAGACCCTCGCCCCCGATCAGAGCCGCGAGACTTAACCACAGCGCTCTTCTCGGGATTACGATATGCCGACGGTTGACAGGGAGACTACGTCCCCCTGCCTGCTCGGTGGTAGTGTGAGTACACGCCGAGCCCGTCCTCCTTTCTCCACCGCTGTCAGCGGAGAAACTGTGGCCCCTACAGGGCCCCGCCATCAGGTTTTTTACCGAGGTTTCCTCCTCCATGCTCCGAAGAGCGAAGAGCCAGCAGGGCAACCGGCAGACACGCCCACCCTGCTGGACCAGGCCTTGCCCGAGAGCCGATGAACGGCTGCCTCTTCTGCTAGAATATTGGCCGCTGGCGATAATCCTCTCCTCCAAGAGGACAAGGAGGAAACAGTACCATCGCCAGCGTTTCCAGGGTGCACCACGAGGAGGTTTTCTAGCCCAGCACCCCAAACTAGCTTATGCCAACGACATCGTCCGTGTGGGGTTCGACATCAAATATCGTAGAGGAGATACGCTACTACCAGAAATAACGACGTTTTATGTATATTTCCAACCCCCATTTTGCACCGTGAGGAGTATAATTTTTTTGAAAATCCTTTCTTAGTACACACCTACGTTGCGTAATGAACTTATGCGTAAAATTTCATGCTTCTAGACCCAGCGGTTGCAGCTGTGCGTTAATCGATCAGTCAGTGTATCAGTCTGTCAGTTTCGTCTTTTATAGATGTAGATAGATATATAAACAAGGCTTTCATAATGTGCTTAGGTATGGAACTATCCATACCTAAGCACATTGTGTAGATACTAATCTACGACGAGAACTCATCAACAATTAATTTCAGCAAAAATTTTCACTTAAAGGAAAAACGGCACTGATAAGGAAAACCTATCTCTCTACAGAAGTTCTTTATATAACGTAGGTGAGTAATAATAAATAACTTCAAAAATGCATCTCCTAGTCCATTATCAGTTACCTTAAACATAACCTGTATAGCCTGTAATGTATAGCCGACTTGTAAAAATATCTGAAAAGATTTACTTACAGAAATAAATATCATTTATCATTTAATCAGAGCAAAACATGCTCTCGAGTCCATACAATGCTAACTAATTTCCATTTTTATTACGTATTTTTAGAGAGTTGTTGTATATTTGTAATGTTTTGTAAATTGAGTCTTGCCTTCTTGATCCTATATCTATGCCGTGTTTTATGGTTTTCTTCAATCTCACACGTTATTACACCTGATAAAATGAGAATGATATGTAGGACGAAAACCTTAATGATGCCATTTTATAGCCTTTACTTGCTTTCGCCGACATTGCAGTTGTGATGTGAAAGCTTTAAATTGACCTCCCAGATTTTCCACACTGGCCTTTTCCAAATGGGGAGGTACAAATGTGCCAATAGTGCTTGTAATATAAATGCCCTATACTACTTGTTATAATAGTAATAGGGTATACATATAACACTTTAAAAGTATCGTGACTACAGTTTAAACATAACCATTCGCTAAAACGATTAGTGTATATCAAGCCTCTATGATTGAGATTGTACTACATCTGTGGCGCGCATCAAAGCCGTTGCATCACAGCTCTAATCTATAGACACGATGTTCAGCTTTGATGTTCTGGCATTTGTGAAATTGGGCTAATACATTACGTGGATGTACAAGATGATACAGAATGCGTAACCTAAAATAACGTATAAGAAGTTTAATTATGTTTCGGTGTTTCAGACTGCAACTTGAGCATATATACTTTCATTATAATAACGACTGGATTTCTTTTTTATGTCTGTTTACGCTATTTTATTACCTCGGTTCTAATTTACTGTGACTGTTTATTAGTTTTAAAAGTATAGTACTAGCTTTTAAGAAATCTTTTAAATAGTGTTCAAAAAAATCCGACCATGAAGAAAATTTGCAACATATAAATAATTATAGGTTAGTAACACCTACAGGGTCCATCACCATATTGGCTAGTTTTTGTGTTTACCGTTCATGGGTAGTCATGGGTCTACAACCTTTCGGCTCAGTGGTCATTTGTTCTACATGCTAAGTGCCCTACCCAATACTACTTTATATTGCTGATTTAGTCTAGTTTCTAGTGTCTAGTTTTGAACTTAAGTTTATGACAACAATGAAGTAAATTTGGTTGTAAATATAGCATTTCGTCTTTATCTTCACCCAATCCGACTGTAACGAATTTCGTTCGTAAAACAAAAGGATCTCCAACGAACATCTATGTATCTATCATCATCTATATATAGGATAATACTCTGCTCGACACACTATCCATATGGTGATTATATGTTAAAAGAAGGACTTGGTTACCAAATACTATTGGTCACCCTTACATTAGTAGGTAGGATCCAACACATCCCTAAATAACTACTCATTTCTTCTTCCCTCTCTTTCAACTACAAACTTAGGGCCAGCCTTAAATCGCGAATGTTGAGTGTTACCAGGGCCAGTTGTCGCATTAATCACCCTAGCAGAAGCAGGCCGGGGTTGTGGCGAGCGCGTTGCGAAGCGCGCTCGCTTCCAGGGAGCAGAGGGAACATGGTGTTCCCACACGGGGGGGGGGGGGGGGTCGTCTACCTGTTGTTGTAGATGGCCCGAGGTATGTCGGGGCACCAGGGACTTGATTTCTAGGGTATACCTGGTTCCCCGGCTATTAGTACCCGAGACGGCATGCGGTTTTAGTCGGTTCGAGTTCGACATGCCACCGATAGGTGGTATCCGAGGGGATTTCCGAACGAAAAAAGAAGGGCCAGTTGTCGTCGGAGAGGTTGGTAAATGGGTCGCGCTTTTTAGCACCGATATAGATGATATTAAATTTATTTAGACAGTGAAACAAAGTAGTGAAAAAGCTATGATAGAATTTAAATTAAAGATCCTACACATCATCGTTATTGATGGTTATTGTCCTTTTTCTTAACCGCAAAACTGATACAGCGGTGGTCTGCAGTGAGTGAGTAATCCCACAGTATACTAAGCGACTGACTGACTACCGCCAGAGTAGTTCATTAAAACCTCAGGCAGATTATAGGCCTGCACGAGTATACATATACCCAAACATGTACAGTTTGCTTATGATAAGTATTATTTTAGTTTGCTTATGATTAGTATTATATAGTTTGAATATATGATAAGTATTATATTTACCTCGTTGTACGTTTGTGTGGGGTAGCACACTCTGCCCATGAGGTGATCATCGTGAGCCCAAGCTTCTCTGCTGCCAGTTGGACAATCATGTGCGCAAGTGCCTTCCGGCCACACCAGCAACTTAGCGCATTTTACGCAGCCATCTGCCGCACATCGCACACATTCTGGCCCACAACCTGAAAAAAAAACAGAAAGATCTTCGGTACACTTACAAATAACCGTGTTTTAAATCTCTTACGCAGTAAAAATCTGAATACAGTAAACTATGTATTTTAACAATATATACACTATATTTTCAGAACAGATTTAGATGTGGTTCGGAATCTCGTGAGTAAATACGGTTTACTTCTTAGTAACGCATTTTGACCCTTCGTTAGATTTGGGTCGTTTTCTATTTTGATCTTTGATCCCAATTCTGGGAAATTAATAAAATGAGATTATTCAAAGGTTATTTGTATTTTTACAACATTGTTGGTAAAATGGTTGTAATTGGAAAATTTAATGACAAGAATGAGATAGTTGTATAAGCAGTTTGATACCTTACATATAATATAATACATATCTAAGTGTAAACAACCATCTACATAAAATATACCGATATGTTGTCATTGAAATATTTCGAATTTCTATGCTAATAATGGTTGGTACCATTTGGGCGTAATGTATGCATGGCCGAACGCACGATTCACGGTTGCTATTCGATTACTCCCTCCAAACGCAAGTACTGCAGATTGTAAAATTTTACTCAACACATTCGGCTACAACAGGTTATTGTATGTTTGTTAAATGTTCAATTGGCCACCATTATGTTACAATATTCCAAAGAGGATCAAAATCGTCTTTCAACTTCGTAAGTAACCGTTCTCTTGCAAAACGGAACTTATGTAATAGAAGTTTATTATATTAAAATTGCGTAGGTAAAGTAAAAAATCCATTCAATATTCGTTTGCATATCAAAAAAGATCTTTATGAGCAGTTTTCTTTAAACAATGTTTGCAGACTACGTTTACGACGAATTAAATTAGAGGTACGACATGTTCTTGGCGTGAAATGCAACGCACCTCCTAATGCTTAAATAGAATTATGCTCTAATCTGTGCAGATATTGAAAATCCATTAGTATTCAATTTCACTGATGTGGATCGTATTTTGATACTTTCCATTGCAAAGGGAAAGTGCGGGGCAATATGCGATTAGTAAGTTACTGTTCAATTAGCGGCACCGGCGCGCGGCGGCGGCGCAAGAAATTATCGATACTACTATTTTTACTTCACGACCAAATTTACCTACATGTTAGAGGTGGTATTTCAAAGCTGTTAGATTGGGTATAAATATGTGTGACTTGATTTCATTACAACGGCCACATAAACGCGTTTACCTATAGAAAGTTGTTGAGTGCAACGTTTTCTTAAATCTATTGGCGCGATAATAATGACGCTTCAATAAAATAATCGCGTTTTGAATAATAGTATTAATCAGGTTATTAATTGTTTAGGAAAATAGGTAGCTGTTCAGTAAAAGATTTAACAGTAGTATGGACGGGTGGATATTAAGGATATTTTTAGTATCTACATATAATACACAAGAGTAAGTGCTTTGAAAAAAGTTGAACAGGCTTAAAAAAATAAACAAATAATTGTCTAAGAACGATATAGAACGACCGATTTCTAGTATGAAGTAAATACGCGTGCTGCGTGTTGATTATCCTGTCAATTTCTTTGAAAGTGATTATCAATTTATTTCCTGAACAGTTTGACGATAATTAATATTCAAAGTAGGTTTTAAGTGAAAGCAATGAATGGTTGATTGATTAGTATTAGCTTTCCGTTAATTATTATCAATTTAGCGTATCGAGTACTTCCATTATTTATGTAATTGTCTGTACCAGGAATAGTTAAACAATCTTGAGTGTAAAGGTGCTATTAGGACGGAACTACTTGTATACATTTAGACTGAAGCTGCTTTCATAGAGGGATACAGAAAAGTCAATTGTAAGATATAGTTGTGCTAAGAAAATATGATAGTGAATTTCAGGAAAATCAGCGCATTCGAAATATGGTGCGTAACGTATTGGTTCACATATCGCATAAACCAAGAATGTATTAACGACTTGCTAAAAAATATGAAAAAAACATCGCTGATGGAAGACGAAAAGAGAATTGCGTCAAACTGGTTGTTGTAGTCAAAGTGGATGGGATAAGAACTTAGAGACAGATCACTTAGTCAATAACGTGATGTAATTAACGTCCCTATTGCCTATCACAGGAGCTGCTCTCAGGCACAGTAAAGATAGGGTTGCGTGGAGCCAGCTAATTACTTCCGACACCAATACGGACACAAACTTTACTTATGAAGAACAAATGACAAAAAAGAACTGACGTTGGTTATGAACTGTTAAGGGTTCTGACTCATATACATAATAATATCCATATATAATAGCATACATTACATTAACAGGAAATTACGCAATATTCCAGTACGACTTTGATCCTGTTTAACAACTTATCTTCTTAATCGATATCCATATCGATATAATATGTGATATGGATATCGAAGAAAGAAGAAGATATTGTCTTCTTTTTTTAATTTGACTTTGAATATGGACAAGGTTCAACAAGTGGTTGAATACTAGAAAGTATTAATCAAGTCCAAGGCTCACTCACGTGTGTCGTTGATTTCGGGAGGCGCGTCGGCAGGCCGCAGCTGAGCGGACACAGTACTCTCCGCCGCCAGCACCGCGAGCACCACCAGCGCCGCACTCGTCATCGCACACCGCTCATCGTGATATCACTGTAAACGGACCACAATGATATAGTTATTGACGTCATTTTATTGTTTCAATGTTATACAGAGTAACATAGAAAGGTGTGGTCATGAGCAAATGTGGAGTTATTATTATTAAGTTGCCTTTAAATAGGCATTTTGTGTTTTCTTCTTTTTTAATTTAAATGAACAACACATTTACTTCTGTAAATATTGTCACTTTAAAGATACTTTTTATCCTTTTTCTTTTTCTGAAAACGTGACTTAGGCTTTTTATTACACATTATGTATAATACTACTGTGAAAATGGTGTATACATTTATAAATAAACAGTATCGTATATCAATATTAGCAGAATAAATTAGTTAAATCACTTGTACGTCTATCTATCTTATTGGGTTGAAATTTAGAAATTCTTAAATAAATTTATATTGTGACTTACACAAATCTCGTTTTTCACTTACTCACTTTATTTATAATAAACATTAAATTGTGGAATACGTCATTTAATCAGAGAAGTCTTCAATCTTAATTTCTATGTTAGGAATTGTATTAAACTGATTCATAACATTTAAGATTAAACTTAAAGACAGTATTAAAATTAAAAAAGTAATAACGTTCTATCCGCCCTAATTCTAAAAATACTGACACTGTATGATGCATTGATATCTGAAAGATTACACCTCAAGTAACTTCGTAGGTTCAATCTTCTGAATAAATTGGATAAAGATTCTATTGTTTTTGAAAAGTTGGTTGCAGTCGCACCTGCTGGATCCAGTTTTGAGTCTTGTTAAATTATTTGCAGTGTCTAATTATTATTTATTGGGATGTTAGATGTCACTCCACAAAGAAAATAAACAACGTAAATCTATAAAGAAATAGGGGCGTAGTTAGGTACTGCAATGGTAATTAATATGTATTTAGCTAATGAATGACTTAATTGTTACATGAAACAGCTTTATAAATCATTTTAATAAGAAACTGATTCTTTTTTAGAATACCTCCATTTGTATCAGATTATAATATATTGTTAACATTGGGTTGTTGTTTACTTGTAACCGTAAAAAGTTCTGTATGAACTATGCTGAGTAAAAGCGTTAGCCTCAGCGTGGTCTGGGCAAATGATTTATACCAATAAGTTATGGCATACAAAGTTGTAAATACACTGACTATTAAAATACTTAATATTGGTTTTTGTTACAGCTGTGTGGTTGGTGTTTATATAAACTATTTAGACAGGCCTTGTTACATTAATATAATAAACCTGAAGTATTTTTTTGCTGCTAAAGAATCTCTAAACCTACAGGCAGATTAAAAAAAACGTTAATAGGTAGGATAAGCCAACTTTCGATGAAGGTTAAAAACTATTTAAAATCACATTACGACCTTGAAGAAAAGCGGAAAAGTGACCAAGAACTGTGTATATATTTCTTAATCAGATTCTAGTCGTATCTGTTGTCCCTTTTAAGGCTATAATTATAATATGCTTCTTGAACTATAAACTACCTAATACTATTATTTTTATGTTAGAGGGGGCAGACGAGCAGACGTGTCACCTGACTATCGCCGCCCATTAGCGTCTGCAACTAAGCAGTCACAAACGCGTTGCCGGCCTTTTAGGAAGGAGTACGCTCTTTTCTTGAATGTCGTATCGGTCCGGAAATACCGCAGCCGATAACTTGTTCTACAGATTGGTTGACAAAAAGTGTCTAAAACACCTAGATCGAAATACATATATCGATAGAAAGATCAAAATAGATCGCCTTGTTATTAATTTCCAACTATATTTACATCTTTGAGATCCTTACTTCTAATAGATTTATTAGGTATAAAACTATTCCTTTTTGTTTATTATGTCATATCTATCTATCAATAATTATCAGTTGAAAGCGTCCTTTAAACGTAAAATGCTATTGCCATTACTGTCGTTTCGTATTTGTTACCAGTTTTGCTATCCGGGAATCCCAAAGCCTTGCTTTTTGTGTCCTATTTGGACCTTTTTTTTTTTGGTCAAAAGCAAGTAAGAAAAAAAGAAAAAGACGAATTGTTCGTCGTGTTTAGATACAAACACCTACAAAAGTAATCTAGAACGCCAATTATATTGAAACGAAATCAAAACTTCGCATGTTCAATCACGTTTATCCTCTAGCATAAATTAGATTTTTATATTTGCTATTTCCTTGGCAGGTATAAAAATAGAAGCATTTTTTGATCAATAATATTATTGTTTGATTTTAATAGTATTTTATTTAATTCTTTTTGAATGCATTCTGCTGAGATAATGCTGATTGGGAAAGTTTCTTAATTCTTAAAGCCTATGAGCTTAAAACTGCAATTAAATTACATTTCATTAATCAAATATAACAACTAAACATGTATATCAAGTTAATATGGACTACTATTACTAATGTGTGTAACGAATACAAATTTGAAAATGTAGCAAATCCACGTTTGAGTTCATTTTTTTTAGAATAAACTTTTATGTTGATGACCTCATCGTCTACGGTTCTGTACAATAAAAAATCCTTAATATACTGTTGATGTGGGTCACACGGTCTCGTCATCCAGTCTCGGCATAACAGTACTGACGGGTTTGCAAATTAGTTGGCATTGGCATTCGATGCCTCTGAATGTCTTGCACACCTACGCACCACGTGTTCAATATTTATGCGTGTGATACAGCGATGTGATAACTGTTTGGCGTATCATTTGAGATCCTAACATGTTAGTTCGAGTACACTATTTTTTTCAATATGAGTTTTTACATTGTGCAGGTTTTATTATTTAGGCTTTAATACGTTAATTATATAACTATCCCTAATAGTTATATAATTACCGCTTAAAATAATTTCGAGGAATTAAGATATTTTCCTTGCAAATAATAGGAATTAGGTTAGGGGTAACCCCTTGTTCGATGGAAGCGGATTGTACAAATAAAAGGCGTAAAGGACACGCTCTACAAAATGAATAAATGTTTGTTTGTTAAGGGTTGCACTATAGATTTTTTTTATTATTGAAATGGACGACTGTAAGTTGTTAAAAAAGTTTTTTTCACCTAAACAAGAAGAAAGGCTTGTGTTTCACTTGGATTTTTTACTACAATTTATTTTATCTCTTTATTAATTTTGCTACGGCGGGCTAAATAAATACTTTTGAAGTGATAACTTCTTATGGGAGGGTAACCGCTTCGTGACATAACGCGTTACGGCTCCAGTCTGTCTGGCTTCTCTTTCTCTCACGCATACGGCAGCGGTAGGCAGGCTCCTCCTCTCTCACTTTAACTAGCCGTATTTCGGACAGACGCTTTACATAAAATTTTATTTACATTTACAAAAGTGGGGACAGAGACTGTGTCAACAACTACCACTGCTACTGCAAGGCATTTTTAGAGAAATTTAAAATACTAGCTGATAATAAATACGGTTTTCGCTCAGGTTATTCTACCGAAGATGCCATGCTGGACCTGCAATTGTAAAGACTTGGACAGTAAACATAGATGCTTATGTATATTTCTAGATCACTTTAAGGCATTTGACACGGTCTCTATCCCCATTCTTCTTGCTCAATTGCAGAATATAGGCATACAATAAATAACAAGTCAGAGTAGGTAATAGTAGTAGTGATGAGGCTACAGTGGCCTACGGTGTGCCGCAAGGGAGTATATTAGGTCCGATCCTTTTTTAGCTTTAAATTAATGGCCTCTGCCTGACCTCCCTCCGAAACACTAACATCTTTACATATGCAGTGTACTTATGTAATGTAAATTATGAACTGGATTACAGACAACTTGCTGACGTTAAACCACTTTAAAACGTATTATATTGCCTTCTGGATCAGAGAAATTTACTCTAACTAAAGATTGCCTTTCTCAGAACGCCTGCACATGCCTAAAAATCGAGGGGGCTGAACTTGTTTAGTAGCTAGAAGTATACATTGGTGGTAGACTGAGGTGGGACAAGCAGATGGACACAGTCACGTCCACACTGAGGAGACTAATACACATATTATAATGACTATATCAGACTCTTATCCTTTATTGCATTCCAGCTTAGGGTGGCGCCGGCAAAACGCTTGTTCTAAGTCTGGAAAGAGCATAAAGAGCTGATACTCTACCGAAAACTATATAAGTACGTAGCCGGGGCTTTAAAATTTGTAATCCCATTATCAGTTCCTGATGTGGTGGTAATGGAGCCATCTCGGGAGTTTTCGACTGCCAAAAATAAAATAAAAAGGTCCACTATTGACGGATATATCGCGTTACAAACATACAAAAAAAAAACAGAGGAATTGAGAACCTCCTCTTTTGTTTTTGAAGTCAGTTAAAAATTGTAAATTGTAATACTTAGTCACATTTACGACTGAACACTTCGCTTGGTGTGGGAGCACAATACATTTATTTGTGTCTAATAATTATAAGTCACCTTGTGAACTGTATAATTTTTCGACACTAAAAGATTATTATTATTAATAGTTTTACGTTCAAAAAGAATGACAGATACTGTGCATATCCTCATCACTTGCCAAAAAAATAACATTATTCGCCTTTACTTAAAAACAGAGATTTCTAAGAGGGCATTAAAATAAATCATTATATTTACAACTCAACAATTGTACAACTCTTGTGTTTCATGACATACCTATTAGGATACTTGCAAGTTACTCCAATTATTATTATTAAAATGTTGTACGCTATTATATCGTAGGTATTTTGCCTTACATAGGAGTGAAGTATTTGTTACGTAGTAACTATTCTCTTATCTGTAATACGGTTGGCAATGGTTGAGGCGTTTATAATTCTCAGTTTTAAAACAATGTACATTTCGTAAGAAACAGTAACTTTCGATTTCGTTCACCTAGGACAACAAATACAAAGAGTACAATACGATGTACCAAGGATCCGAAATAGAACAACCCATGAGCAAGGAATATAAAAAAAAAGGGTTTCCTTTATAAGGATTGAACAAGGACGACCGAGTGCGTAATTGGGTCTTTGTTGCTGAAAG